AAATTATATGCTTGTCTATGCTGTCTACCTAGGTAGCTGTGGATAGCATGGGGCTATTTAAATGTAAATTAAGTGAAATTAAGTAAAATTTAAGAACTGGATCTGATTGTGCAGACCTGTAACCCTAGCTAGCCCAGGCAGCTTAGTGAGACTCTTGTTTCACAAACAGTAGAACTATAACACAGAGTATCCATTGTGTGTGTGTGTGCAAAACAAACATACATAATAATTCTTTTGTTACTAAAAGTTGCAACCAGGACTTTTTGCTAGGCCTATGTTCTTAAACAATGTTAACATCTTAGGTACTATTATTTTGAGACAGAGCCTTGCTAAATTGCTCAGGCTGGTCTTGAACTTGTGAAACTCCTCTTCAGCCTCTCCAGTCCTGGTATTACAGGTGTGTACCATCATCGCCAGCTACTGTAAAGAGAAAAGTGGTTTTGTGTTCAGAGAAAGAATGGCAGTTACTCTGTGAGTAGGCTTGAGGACTAGCAGTGAGCAGGAGATGACTGGTTTTTGTTTTTTGTTTTGCGTGATGTAATAGCCCTGGCTGTCCTAGAACTCGGTGTATAGACCAGGCTGGCCTCATACTCAGAGATCTGCCTGTCTCTGTCTCCTGAGTGCTGGAATTAAAGGCTTGTACTACCACCGCTGGGCTGAGATGTCTGTTTTAAGATATCAACCCCAGTGCTGGTTATGTGGGGAAGTTCAGGCTGTGAAAACTTAAGTGTATACTTGCTGTAAGTGCCTTTCGTGTCTTTTATATGCTCATTAAAAGTGTCAGGAATAGCCAGGCGGTGGTGGCGGTGCACGCCTTTAATCCCAGCACTCGGGAGGCAGAGCCAGGAGGATCCGTGTGAGTTTGAGGCCAGCCTGGTCTACAGAGCAAGATCCAGGACAGGCACCAAAACTACACAGAGAAACCCTGTCTCAAAAAACCAAAAAAATAAAAGAAAAGAAAAAAAAGAAAGAAAGAAAGGAAAGTGTCAGGAATAGAAACAACAATCACCTGTAGCCTAGGCACTCAGGAAAGAAGACTTGAAGAGAAGAACTTTGGAATGTTTGGGTAGCGCATTGTGAAGGTGGAGTAAGAGAGGGCAGGGCATTTTAGAGTGGGGTCTGCCTAAGGAAAGGCACTCAGCCACTGAGAAGAGTAGAATTGACTGTTGGCCAGGGCCTAAGTAAAATAAAGAGGAAGCTGGAGAAGTAGGTTTGAGACAAACTGAAAACCCCAATACCAAGGTCTCGTAAAGAACTCAGACTTGCTTTTTAGAAAGCCTGTAAAGGTGCCACTACTGCCTAGCAATTATACTTTCAAATATCTTTCCTGTATATTACTGAGAGAAGACCTAGTCTCATTCATAATTGTTCATTCAAAGCCCCATTCTGTGTTAGACAGTAGTGGTGCATGCCCTTACCTGCAGCACTCGGGAGGCAGAGGCAGGCAGGCACATCTAAGTTCAAGGCCAGCCTGGTCTACAGAGCAAGTTGCAGGACAGCCAGGGCTACAGAGAAACCCTGTCTCAAAAAACCAAAACAAAACAAAAACAAAGCTTATTCTAAATGAGAAAAAAAAAGAGGGAGCTATTTCACTGTCTCATTGTCCCAATGCTTTTCTTCTCTTTCCCTCTTCCTTGCCAAAAACCAAACAGAAAACCAACAAGCTGCGTTACGTTGTAATATATCTGGCCACTTCTGGAAAGCGCCAGTGGTCGGGATCTCTTTCATTACAGGCAAGAAGAGAGGCGGAGGCGCTCCTTCCAGGATTACACTGGGCAGAAGATCACCCTCGAGGCTGTCCTGAACACCATCTGCAAAAAGTGTGGCTGCAAAGGTACGGGAAGTCTGCCGTTTCCGTCCCCTCCCCTGGCTGAAGGAGACCATGGTAGTGTAGCTCAGTGTGGTTTTCAGTTGGCCGCTGCCCGCCCTCCCTCACACCGCCCTCTGCCACACTGATCTCTAAGCACAATTACTCCTCTGTAGAAATTAAGTGACTTGGAGATACATTCCCTAAGGATCCAAATGAGATCTTTTCTTCTTCTTCATCTTTATCTCTTTAAGTTCAGAATTTCGAATACAGGGTCCTTTTTTTGTCATAAAGATAGAGGATTGTCACTTCCTTTTGGCTCTATTTCCTCAGATTTCTTCTAGTCTTACTCAAATATTAAAAGCTTTTCAGCCTGACTTCCCTTATTAGAGCTATAATGAGAGAGATTGCCATCTTCTTATTTCCAGAGTGACCTCAATTTGTCACCTCTCCTCCCTAGCTTCCCATCCATCATGCTTTGCTCATTTTTCTGCAGTGACTGGTTGCAGATTTGTGTCCTGGTTGAATTTGTGGGGCATCTATCTATCTATCTATCTATCTATCTATCTATCTATCTATCTATCTATTTTACGTGCATTGGTGTTTTGCCAGCATGTATGTCTGTGTGAAGGTGTCAGATCCTGTAACTGGAGTTACAGACAGTTGTGAGCTGCCATGTGGGAGCTGGAAATTGGACCCAGGTCCTCTGGAAGAGCAGCCAGTGCTCTTAACTGCTGAGCCATCTCTCCAGCCCCGAATTTGTGGGTTTTTTAAGCCCTATTTTTTATTAATATATAAAGAGAAGGATAATGTAACAGTGAGAGAAGCAATAGTCCTTGAGGAAATTGTGGTAGTATTTGAATATTTGGTATTTGGATTATTTCTAGATATTTGGAAAACTGTGCTGTATCCTTCTTTCCAGGCCCCATCCAACTTCTAGGCTCAAAATACAAACACATTTACCCATACCTCTGTTGTTACTCCTCACACTTCTTTCCTATTCTTGAGATGAAGTGTCTTAGAAACTTACTGTAGCTCTAGCTTCCGGGGATCAGACGCCCTCTTCTGGTCTCCTTGGGCACCTGCACTCATGTGTACATACCCACACACAGATAACAACAAAAGGGACCCTCAATACCACCACAGGCTCAGTGTGGAGCCCCCTTACCTGTATCCACATGATGGCCCACAGGGCAGAGAGGAATGGCAAGAAGTAGAATTTTACCCAGCCCGCAAAGGTCAGGTTGAAGGTGTTTGACTTCGGTCTATCAAAAGCAGCCCCAAAGGGGGAGACAGCCAACCTGAGCTGAGTGTTTGCTGCTGAGTGACCCTGAGCTACTTAACTCTAGGCCTTCGCATCTGATACAAATGCAGGGTGTTGGATTTCACGATCTCTAAGGCCCTTGCCAGACCTGACAGTCTGAATTCTCAGTCACCCTGGGTGTCTGTGCCTGTCTCTGTGTGTGCTGGCGTGGATGTGAGTGCCCACTTCCTGCCAGCTATCTTCCTTTAGGGCTTGGCCTGCAGTTCACTTCCCTCTGTTAAGCATTCTGCTCTCTGGAGCAGCCTTGCATTGTCAGGAGTAAGTTCCAAAATAGATCTTTAAAAATTAATAAGCCCCATTGTTAAGGGAGGGCAGCACAAGCCTGCTTGCTTGTATCTTCTGCCTTTTCCAAAGCAGCACCGGTGTCTCCCGCAGCTCTAACACCAGCTGCTCGCCTGGCTCGGGCTGAGTGAGCATTGCCACCTTGAGGTGGCAGAAACGCCACTCGGATAAACTCAGTAATATCTTTGAAGCAGTGGGCCGTGTCAGGAGCCTCTGGAAGGCATCCACCTGCGGAGGAGGGCAGCTCTTCCCTCTCCAGCCTTTGTTTCTTTTCCACAGGCCACTTTGCAAAAGACTGTTTCATGCAGCCAGGTGGAACCAAGTATTCTCTGATCCCTGAGGAGGAAGAGGAAAAAGAAGAGGCAAAGGAAGAAGGAATTGAGAAGCCTGATCCCACAAAGAATTCTTCCAGAAAAAGAAAAAAGGTAAGAGCTGGCTTACTTTTATTTATCACATTTTTTTTTTGTAGGTATTAAAATATAAATGCTTTGTGTACGCATTTTTCAAATAGTGAAAAATGAAAAAAGCAAGCTTTCCAGAGTGTTGTATAGACAGTCTTGGCATACTCTAATCTTTTTCCTAGCTAACAATATAAATAGATGCATATACATATAATATAAAATAATGATCTTGTAAGTGTAGTTTA